GAAGTGGGGCGGGTGGGGGGGGGAAAAACCTTATCTGAAGATTAGGTATGCTACATTCTGGATTGTTAGAAAATAGGCAATTGTTAGTTCATAAGCTCGGTTCACACAAAGATTCTTCTCTAAGAATACTGGGGCATATGCCAAGCACGTGTCCTGTTCCAAATATGTAGGACTTTAATTGTTCTAAATTGTATTTAAGGGTTTCCCAAGGTGTCCTTCCATTCTGTAATTGTAAGATAGTTTCACATAACTAGAAATGCTCATTGTAAGAATTGCTGTGCTGGGTGAAATGAAAAGTCTACCGAACTGAAGGTTCTCTTTCTAATGATAGGCAATCAATAAACCCACAATCAAAAAGGCATGCACACTTTGGAAGCAAGTAATAGTCTTTCATATTTCCACGTCAAGCTAGAAAATCTTCTTTTTAAAATCCTGGAAAAATGCTTCCAATGAGTTTACCCATTACTAAGCTAGTCAGACTCTATTATATCACAACACAGCTATGATACTAGATCAGTTGAAGATTGTAGCTGCAAACACACAACACGCCAAGTTTGGATATGGTTAATCTTGATTAATTTGTGTATCTGTGATGTGTGTTTGCATCTGTCTTAGCTTGTGCACACTTACCCTGTTTGACTAGTTGACAGGCCAGTGTGTTGTATTAACCCAGAAAATGGGTGGATGGATTTATTTATTGTAGTTACAAGATTTATACGACTGTCTATTTTATACAATAATCCTACGTGGTTGACAACAAAATCAATCAAACAATAATATACATGTGCTTTGTGAAGCAAACCATGTTAAGCAAATGTGGTGGATGTAGGCTGCAGAAGGTCATTTTTGTCCATGTTCTTTAAGTCCCTATCCTGTTGATCCTAGTTGGGCATCTCATTCTCAGGACTCTGCTACATTGCAGGAGAGGTTCTGGCATTTATGTTAGATGGCAGCTCCCATCAATGCATACATTTCATCTGCAATGGGAGTTTGTGCTCCATTTATAGTTGTTAAGGCACCCATGGTCAAATTACAGAAATCTCTAAGTGAACAGAAACTAGCACAATTTTTACAGGGTGCAAAGTAAAGCACATAGAACAGAGGTCCCCAACCTTTGGGGCACCAGGGACCGGTTCCGTGGAGAGAGGTTTTTCTGTGGACCGAAGTGCGTGGTTTTGTGTGCTGCCTGCATCCCGCAGATGGGACTTTCTTTGTTTGTGTGGACTGGTTGCTGGCATGCCGCGGACCGGTACTGGTCCACGGAGCGAGGGTTGGGGACCCCTGACGTAGAACATAGAATCATATGGCTTTAAGGGACTTGGGAGGTCTCCTAATCCAGCCACCTGTTTGAGGCAACAGACTTTATACCATCCTGGTCAAATGGTTTTCCAATCTATTTTTTGAAAACCTTCAGCAACGGAGGACCCAAAACTCCGTGACGCAAGCCTAATCTTTCAGCACATTTGAATGCAGACACATTATTTGCGTGCAGTTGTTCACTTTATTCAAAATAAAACAATTGAATGTTAAAGAAATCTTATTAACAATGAGAAGAGTTGGATAATGGAATTTCTCCTTTATTATCAAGGCAGAGACTGAATATCAATAGCAGCGAGCAGAGCGGTTTCTTCATAGCTTCAATGGCCCTCTTCTTCCTCTGTGATTCCAAGCTTTCGGAGGAAACTAAAACCTGAATTTAAGAAACATTTGCACTCATACAACCAGCGGGGGAGGGATTAATTATTGAGAACAAGAACTGAGCCTCCCTTACTTGGTTAGCATAATAAGAAAGAAAATGGGGGGAAAATTATTAACAATGGCATTTCCACCCAGAAGAGAACAATAATCTTCATGCAATCATTAACTGCTCTTACCCATCCTCCAGTAGCTCAAGGAGGCACAACTTGACCTGCTGAATTGGTAAAAGTATGCACATTAATTGAAATTGTTTGGTTAAAACAAAAGACACATTAGTAATCCAGTAAAGAGCTAGCAATGCACTTGTATTAATTGGCAGCACTTGAAGAAACGTTTGTAGAGTAGCCAAATGAAGGGGCCTCTTGTAATTGTCTGCTGGAAATTTGTTTTCTCAGATGCTGGATTGCCTGCATCAAATTTGGGTAGCTTGACATGATAAGGAAGTGAGGATCGGCTTGACTTACAGTGGTAGAGGGAAAGGAGAAACTCTGCCTTGGTTCAAAAAACAGATTTCAACTGAATTCCAATCAATGCATTTATGGCCATTGACTGATAGATATTGATTCAGACAAATACAAACTTAAACAACAAACATCATGCTAATGGGATTTAAATAAATGAAGAAGAAAAAGTTGTCCTATATTAAAAAAATGTCTACTATTAACAGATCCCAGACCAAAAGACTACTGAGCCAGTGTTTCTCAACCTTGACAATTTTAAGGCATGTGGACTTCAACTCCCAGAATTCAACAATGCTGGCTGTGGAATTCTGGGAGTTGAAGTCCACATGCCTTAAAATTGTCAAGGTTGAGAAACACTGCGGGACTAGACCAAACTGGTCTAGGGGTTAAGGCACCAGACTAGAAAGCAGATCATAATTTCAGATTTTACCTTAGCCATGAAAGGCAGCTGGGTGACTTTGGGAGCTGAATTCTGGGAGCTGAAGTCCACAAGTCTTAAAGTTGTCAAGGTTGCAGACCCCTGGTATAGGGTCTCCAGCCATGGGCATGGGGTTGGAGTAGAAGACCTCCAAGGTCCCTTCCAACCTTATTATTCTATGTTCTATGTTTTTTTCCTGTTTACATTTAGATTTGTGTGTGTTTTTATACTTGTTTTATACTTGTTTCTTCACTCACACCATGTTGGTCTCTGACTGTAATAGAGATTTGAAATGATTTGATCTGAGCTTCACATATACACTTTTTTCTTTGTAATTTTGCCTTGTGGTCATAGTTTTTTTTTTTTTACTATTGTCCCTAATATAATTTCTGCAAATTACTTATGGCAATATAGCACCATACAGTATGTTCACTTTGTTGCAGGCTTTCTAATAGATTTGCTTTTAAACTTGACAAACTGCACAGCAAAACTCAGAAAATTGGTGTTTTGTTTTTTTTAATGGATAGATGAATTTGCATAGTTTGTAAAGTGGTTCAAAAAACACAACATGAGAAGCTTGCATTACATTTCTCCTGTCCTCCCCACCCCATTCCTCATAGAGATTATTGCATGTCAAAACATCTATAGAAAAAAACCCACTGAATTTTCCTGACTGGATTATTATTTGGTTTGTGTGGAAAGAAAAAACAACAACACAAAGCAATCAGGGGAGGGATGAGAATTTCAAATGGGATATATGATCATCATCTGGATCTGCTATAAAATCCACAAATGAGATAAAGTGATTGCATTTGACAAAATCTTAAGGAAAAGCATGGAAGGATGGTTTTTCAACTTTTAAGAAGGAAGATTCCAGTTAAGTATTAAGAAAAAAAACCCCTCCTAATAAGAGTAATTAGGCAGTGGACATGATAATTAAGGTTATGTTCCTGGCAGCTCAATCATGGATATTTGAATCTGAGGAAGGAATTGGACTTGATGGTCTCAGTGTGCCCCTACCTAATTCAATGAGTATGTGGCTTTGGAATCTCTTTTTACCAATTCCTGAAGCACCTTGAAATTGAATACAAGTTGCCCATATTCCCAGAAGTAAATTAATAATGCACAGAGAGAACGTCCAATTTTCTTTAGCCCCCTTCCTCACAATAATTATTGTAGCAGTGCTATTCAACCTGGAAAATTAAGTCACTGGACTCATAGTAAGGAAGATTGGTCACCTTAATCCAGCAACTAGAAAAAAAATGCTCGTCTCCGTATATCCATCACCTTCTAAAAGCTGAATCCCATTTCTTCCTGCTTGGAATCAAAAGGAGATGCGCACTCTGCCTTGCACCCGAAAAGATATTTATTTAGAGTAACACCCCCAAAATATGTTTATTTAAAGAAACAATTTCATCGGCTTCCAGAGAAGGAAACCTGGGCACTCTGCTGATGCATCATCAGCCAGGATCCCTTCAACACCACAGACAACCAACCTCAAGTGGCACTTTGTTCAAAAATGATGCAAGGTAACGTTCTACTTGCATGGAAGCAGTTTGATGAATCCTCATGCTTGAAGGACACCATGTTAGGATTGCACAAGAAAAGCTCACCCTGACTTATGTATCCATCTACTAAACGAAGGAATTTAGAGTTCAGAAACCAGAAGTGCCACCGAACAACGTGAACTGCTAGTTGTGGCTTTGCTGAAAGCACAGGGAGGAATTCTACCTTTGACAGGCATTAGATTGGCTGTTTCACATAACACCCTAACTCTTTTTCAGGGTCATTTCAGCCCATGCAATCTCCCCATTGGAATGGTATGCTTATGAGAAGTTGTTTAGAAGCTACCAAAACCTAGACTAATTTAAACTATAAAGCAGCAAGACACAAAAATGGAAACTTGTCTTATCCCAAGTCAAAGAAACCCCAAATTTTCTACTATGTCTGGTAGTAAATTCATGAAGTTCCAGATGTACAAGACCTGGGTTCACACCTTCAGCTGAACCAGGGATTGTTTTGTGCATCGTTTTTTGAGTACACCACGATTGTCTAGATTCACATTTTACAAGAGACTACCTACCATGGCCTGTACATCACAATGGTTCATCCAATACATGAAATCAGGGATGCCCCATCTGAGGTTTCAGATGACTGTAATGGATGCCACAATGGGAAGACAGCCTACAGCCTGAAAAATACCTATACACGTACCCCATATTGAAATCAAGCTAACTACATTGTACCCCTTGAGAACCCGGTCAGCATTCTCCAACCCATTTATCTGCCATCGTGTCACTCTTTCAGATGGTGTTCTAGAAAAGCATATCCACTGAACAAGATTCAGTTTAAAAGGAAGTGGGTCCTTATAGGCCAAATTGCATTTAAGGTGGAGGTTCAAGGTCTGAAAAGGATTGATAACTAGCACTGATGGTGTCACCTCGTTTGGGTAATGAAACGCCTGCAAGAAAACCAGCAAGCTCAGACCCCTCACTTCATCCCTGAGCTTCAAATACTATCCTTCATTGAGACTGATAACTGCTAGGTTGTCTGATCCTGCCTAACTAACTAGAGCTGAAACCTGGTATCTTTGTTATTATCATTCTCCAGAGTTATTAGCTTATTCTGGGAAGTGGTACTTTGGGCTTTCCTGTTTCAATGCCTTTGTCAGGATGCCACAATTCTTTCACGATATGTTAACGGGCGTGCGTGATTGCCTAGCATTGAGAAAATAGAGAGAACCACCCTACTGCATTCATGATTGCTCTTTGGACAATCCCTCAACCTGGATAGTGAGAAGAGGACACCCCGCAGTGACCCAGAAGTGAAGGAGGAAACAGGTTGACCAAATCTCTCTGCAAAGTCTACGTGGGCAATCGGTTTCGTGGTAGCAGAGTTAGCAGGGAGCAGATGAGGACCTACACATCCCTGAGAGACCTGGGTCATTGACAACGTTATTTACCAAAAGATTGGGCTCCAGCCATTCAGATAACATAAATATGGATTGTACTGATAGGTGTGGCAGACGGAAAGTGCTAGGGTAGCCCTAGAGAAATTGTTCTCTCTGAAGACTGGGAGAGGTGAGTTCTTCTCAAGTTCTCCAAGTTCAGATGCCAGTTGCTTCCTCTTGGTCTTATATCTTCTGTTCTGGAACCAGATCTTCACTTGGGTTTCGGTGAGCTTCAGATTCTTGGCAAGGTGAGCTCGTTCAGGAGCAGACAGGTATTTCTGGTGGCTGAACTTCCTCTCCAGTTCAATGACCTGGCTGTGGGAGAAGGCTGCCCGTGAACGCTTCAGCTGTTTGGGGGCTCTCGGGAAGGATTTGGAGGGACGCTCACAGTTCGGCTGATGGACATCTGGATCTAGCAGGCAGGGAAAAAGAGGGATACAACTTCAGCAACGGCTCTTCAAAAGAGGGCAGACAATTTCACCTGACCTCACTCAGGACAAAAAGATGGCACAAACATATGGATACTGGAGTTGCACCTTGCAAGCTGTACCATAACACCATTGGGTTAATTTAGCAGGTTGGGCAACCCATTCAAAGGGTTTTTTATTGAGCAAACCATGGTTAGGCTATGGCCTAGTGCAGGGGTAGGCAACCTCGGCTCTTTTATGATTTGTGGACTTCAACTCCCAGAATTCCTGAGCCAGCCATGCTGAGGGGAAGGGAAGAGGTTTACAAGCTGAGCCATACTGGCTCAGGAATTCTGGGAGTTGAAGTCCACGAGTCATAAAAGAGCCACAGTTGCCTACCCCTGGCCTAGTGCAAAGTGAAAAGCCAGCCATACTAATCCATGAAGAAACACTATTGTTTGATTCACCACATAAACCATAGATAACAAACCATAATGACTGCCTTCGTACATTATACCACACCATAATTGAATAAACCATATGACAGCTTTGTGCAATTTGTGAAGCTAACCACTGCCTTTGTATTGGGAAAATCAGGAACCATCTATTTGGAAGTGGTTCAAAACGCATGGAAATGGGCACGTGTTCAAAGCATTTTACATCCTAAATTGCACAAATCTTTGCAACATGCTTCAAGTACTTTGAATAAGCCCATTTCTATAGTAGTTTTAAAAAATGGTATTATTACTGACATAATAATAATAATAATAATAATAATAATAATAATAATAATAATAATAATAATAATAATAATAATAATAATAATAAAAGTTGGAAGGGACCTTGGAGGTCATCGACTCCAACCCCCTGCTCAGGCAGGAAACCCTATACCATTTCGGACAAATGGCTGTCCAGTTTCTTCTTTAAAAGCAGTTTGAAGTCTATTGGCTCAGGCCTCTCTCCCATCACCTCTGTATATATGTATTTAATTTATATAGCTGACTATCTCAAACCATCCTTAATCAACAATCGTAAAAGCAACTAAAACTATTAAAACTCCGTACCAGAAAGAAATTAAGTACAAATAACAGCCAAGACAGTAGCAATGAGAAGAACATGAAACCTCTGTAATTTTTGATGCAGAGAATTCTTTACATTTGTGCATGAATCTTCCAAGTGCAACACTTCATAATGGGACCCTTTCCCCCAAAGAGAGCACAATAGCTCTTCTGGACATATTTATCATCCCCAACATACAAACCCTACAAGAGATACTGAGATACTCTCACCTTATCACAAAAAAGATGTTGAGAGTTTGGAAAAAAATTCAGAGAAGAGCTACTAAGATGATCAAAGGCCTGGAGACTAAAACACACGAAGAACGGCTGCGGGACTTGGGTTTGGCTAGTCTAAGGAAAAGAAGAAATAGGGGAGACATGATAGCAGTATTCCAGTATCTGAGGGGCTGCCACAAGGCAGAGGGAGTCAGGTTGTTCACGAAAGCACTAGAAGGAAGGGCGAGAAACTGATCAAAGAGAGAAGCAACCTGGAACTAAGGAGAAACTTCCTGACAGTGAGGACAATCAACAAGTGGAACAGCTTGCCCCCCAAAATTGTGGGCGCTCCATCACTGGAGGTTTTTAAGAAAAGACTGGACATTCACTTGTCTGAGAGGGTGTAGGTTCTCCTGCTTGAGCAGAGGGCTGGACTAGAAGACCTCCAAGGTCCCTTCCAGCTCTATTCTATTCTATTCTATTCTATTCTATTCTATTCTATTCTATTCTATTCTATTCTATTCACCTCAACTTGTCTAGTAATCTTGAAAAGATTTGAACTCAACTTCCCCTATTTCTTATTTAGGGGTCTAGGGGTAACATGATAGCAGTGTTCCAATATTTGAGGGGCTGCCACAAAGAAGAGGGGGTTAACCTATTCTCCAAAGTGCCAGAAGGCAGGACAAGAAGCAACAGATGGAAACTAATCAAGGAGAGAAGCAACCTGGAACTACGGAGAAATTTCCTGTCAGTGAGAACAATTAACCAGTGGAACAACTTATCTCCAGAAGATGTGGGTGCTCCAACACTGGACGTATTAAAGGAGACATTGGACGGCCATTTGTCTAGAATGGTATGGGATGTCCTGCTCAAGTGGAGGTTGGACTAGAAGACCTCCAAGGCCCCTTCCAACTCTGTTGTTCTATTATCTGATGTTTTATACAACATAGGAGCCACTTTTGCCCGAGGCACTAAATTTTGGGTATCCGGATTCTCTGAATTTTCATGTTACCTGCTCCTTTATGGTTTTTGCTGCGTGACCTCTGCCAACGCAGTAAATTCTAACACAATGTATCACCTGTTATGCCTTCGGAGTTTTTGGGTTGTGTTGGAACAGAATGACCAAAAAAAACTCAGAAGGCCTAACAGGTGATACTTTTTGGTCACAAGGATTAGTCGGAAAAGATGCTCTCGGGGTCCGTTTCCCCCCCTTTTTTTCCTTTTTTTGACACCCATTTAACCGGCCGCGGGGGAAGTAGAGGCAGGGATCCAGAGTGGAAGGAGCCGTGCTCAGGATGTCGTGAGGACGCGGCCGTTTGCAGGGACCCCAGGGTTCATCTTACCTGTCGCGTCCGTCTCGGGGGCTCGGGGGGCCCCGAGTGGGAGGAGACGGCTCGGGCTGGTCTCCCCGGCAGAAGCTCCGTGGGAACGATGCGGGCGCGTCGCCTTTCCTGCCTTCGGCTCCGCGCTGGAAGTCTCCCGCGCGTCGCCTTTGCGCAGAATGTCCTGGATGAGAAACGGAGTCAGTTGCTTGGAAGGGGGGCCCACGGCGGCTCCCCCGGCCCCATCTGCGGGCAGCGGCAGCGGCAGCCGCGGCGGGCGAGCGCGGGGGGGAAGGCACTGCTGCGCGCTCTGCATGAGCCTTGCTGGCGCGGAAAGGGGCGCCCGGGCTCTCCGCGCAAAGTTTGGCAAGCTCGTCCGCTTTAGGGTTCCCCGCGCGTCGGGAGGGTCGCTTATGTAGCTGGGCGGAGGGGCGGCGAGCCCTCCTCGCTGGGGATTGGTGCCTCCGGGCCCGAGATACGCCTCGTGGGCTTCTCCACCCAACAAGCCGGGCCCCCGGTGACCTCCGCCGTGCGCTCCGGGCCAGCGCGTCCCTCCCTCCCTCCTTCCCTGCCTGCCTGCTGGCCTGCCTGCCTCCTTCCTTCTTTCCCTGCGCGAGATGCTTTGCAAGGGATGGACCCTGGAGACGGCGCTACTATACGTAGTAGTGTTTGTAGGAAATGCACTCGCGAGGTTCAGGGGCGCGCTTCTCCTGGTACTGAAAGGCGAGCGCCCTCCAACCTCTCGGTTGCCTACTCCGGCCTTCCCCAAGCGGGCGCCCTCCAGTTGCGTGGGACTTCAGGATCCCGATGGACTGGGACGGCGGGAGTTCATGTTAAGCCTATTCAGAGGTAGAATTTGCCCTCTGCTCAGGGGTCAGTCCCGTTGACCTCGTGGAGCCTTCTCTGGGTCTGTCGGGCAGATCTTATCCTGGGTCTGCCTGGAAGGAGAGAAGGACCTTGTCGCCTCACCTGGAGTTCAAGGTGGAATGTCCAAATCTGTAGATTTGCAGCTTCTCTTGGGCTAATCACAAAAAGCACCCCGCTCTCCAATTCACTCAGATTTTTCTCCTGGCAGAATATCTTTGGCATTTGGTCTCCAACTCAGAAATAAATAAGAGCGGGTGCTTGCTTTTTAGATATCCCAAATTTGGAAAAAAAAACCCAGTGTTTTGTTTCAACATTGCTTTTGAAAGAAAGGTGAAGCCCAATTCAAAAATAATAATAATAATTAAAAACATCTTTGCACAATCCCTCACCTTCTGAACCTCTCCAGATCCATAGGGCTACAACGTCTACTGTCCCCATGGGCATGTCCATCACGCTGACTTAAGATTATGGGAGCTATACTCTAGCATTGTGAACCCAACACAACGGAGAGCTTATGTTTGTGTTTCTGTAGGAAGGGACAGTTCTACAGCGACAACTTAAGGACACAACGACACATTTGGAAGTGAGCTAGGCAGCATATAAATGTAATAAATAAATAAAAACGGAAAAGTGAGCTGAATTCTCCAAAGTGAATCTGTTGAGTACTGTAGTCCAATATTGTCATCTTTATATATTTATATTATTTGTATTGAATTTTTATGCTGACCATCTTTTCTACAATGTGACTCTCAAACCTGTGTATACCCCTGGACCCTGAGTTGTCCACCTTACTAGGATATACTCTACCACTGAGCAATGGTTCGGATTGGCACAAATTGAGGAAGGCAGATAAATGTATTTAAACTGGAAACAAGCTCCATTGATTGCAGTATCTTTATTTCTAAATTAAGATAGAAGGTGATTCTTTCCTTCTCCTTTCAAACAGGAGCATTTCTTAGATTTGGTAAGAACTGGACTGCAAGGCGATCAAATCGGTCAGTCCTGGAGGAGATCAACCCTGACTGCTCTTTAGAAGGCCAGATCCTGAAGTTGAAACTCAAGTCCTTTGGCCACCTAATGAGAAGGAAGGACTCACTGGAGAAGAACCTGATGCTGGGAAAGATGGAGGGCAAGAGAAGAAGGGGACGACAGAGAAGGAGGTGCCTGGATGGAGTCACTGAAGCAGCAGGCGTGAGCTTAAATGGACTCCAGAAGATGGTAGAGGACAGGAAGGCCTGGAGGAACGTTGTCCATGGGGTCGCAATGGGTCGGACATGACTTCGCAACTAACAACAACAACAACAACAACAACAAAGGAGAATATTTGTAGCTCAGAATTGAAACGAGGGATCCGAGCTTGATTGTTTTCTTGCAGATGTTTCAATACCTAACTAGATAACATTATCTGTGCTAGAAGGGAATGGGGTTAGTAGAGTGAAAGAGGAGGAGAAAGGAAGAAGGAGAAGGGGGAAGAAGGAGAAGGGGGAAGGAGGAGGAGGAGGAGGAGGAGGAGGAGGAGGAGGAGGAGGAGGAATAGGACTGTGGGGTCCTTGGTGCTCTCTGAGCTTGGCTGTTTTTTTTTGCAGATGTTTCATTACCCAAACTAGGTAAGATGTTACCTCATTTGGGTGATGAAACATCTGCAAGAAAACAACCAAATTCAACGAGTGCCAAGGATCCCTCAAAATCTCAAGTAGATCCCCTCCCCCCTATTTTAAGCTTCCTTTGAGGTAGCAGTCATCATAAACTCAAGATTATCTTGCTTTCTGGTGGGAATGCTCTCCACCCAGCCCAAAATAAACATACAGAAAATACCCTGTGTTAAAAGCCAGATGTAGGAATGGTCTTTCAACCAGGGAAATGACCGGAGAGGATCTACTTCAAGAATGTCTTGAAGACTGACATTATTTCTTAAGTATCCCAAAGAGTATTGAGCTGTTTAAATGCCGGTCCTTTGAGCAAGTGTTTAACAGATGGCACATCCCTTGTCCGAAGGAACTCTGACAAGCAACAGTTGGCTTAATTCTACTTAATAATGAGTCTATAATGAATGTCAATAAATGCCTGGCTCGATTAAGCCGGTGATTTCTCCTATGCTTTTAACCGAGTGAGTTTTCTCTGTAATCGTTCATCTTGCCTTTCTATTCTCTTCGACATTTTTAGGAACTGTCGGGAGCTGACAATAATTCTACGCCCGTGCTCCTCTTAACTGCGGCAGAGGAAAGATTTATGCAGCAATCGGAAACCCGGAGTATAATAGGGGCAGGTTTTTGCCATCACTCTGCCCTGAAGTGGGCTGCACCTCCATCTACCCACCCCCCCTCCCTCACAGCTTCTGGTGAGGAAATTAAGACCCCTTCAGCTGGCTGTTGAAATGCTTAGATGGTGTGCAGACTGGGTGGCCTGTGGGATGATGCTTTTGTAATATGCTCAACCGCTTAGCGGGGGCTTTTCACCTGTAGCGCACATTGTTAATGTTTGGACTAGGCCTGTGGGAAATGACCTTCTAACACCCCAACAGAAGCCGTTCAGTTTGGGAAGAGTGAAAGGATCAACTTGAGACCTCCAGCAGCAAGGGTTGCCAACTGTTCGTCTCGCCAACTGTTCGTCTTGTTGGAGGGACACAGGGATTCTAGAGTTATTGTTTTCTCTGAGAGAGTTGCCTCTGAGCCACCCGTTCATTAACAAGGACCCTAAGATATTCTGAAACAAGCTGTAAAGTGAAGGTTGTCCTATTTCAGGGGGTCTTCAAATTTGGCAACTTTAAGACTTGTGGACTTCAACTCCCAGAATTCCTCAGCCAGGAATTCTGGGAGTTGAAGTCCACAAGTCATCAAAGGGCCAAGTTTGAAGACCCCTGCCCTAGAATGTCCCCTCCCTCTCTGAAATATTAAAAATGTCACATTGTACCAGGATATGGTAAGAAATGGAACTCCACAGACGGATGAAGTTGCTTAAGCTAAGAAACATTGATTTGGAGCAGGGGTCTTCAAACTTGGCCACTTTAAGACTTGTGGACTTCAGCTCCCAGAATTCCTCAGCCAGGCACACTTGTCTGGCTGAGGAATTCTGGGAGTTGAAATCCACAAATCTTAAAGTGGCCAAGTTTGAAGACCCTTGCCCTATTTGAACCCTCAACCCAGTCCAACAAAGCAGAAGTGTTCATGTTCACACAATGCACAATATCCAGACCAATAAACCACATTCTGGCTGAATGGGACGACTTGCTTCATTCAGCAGGCAAAGAGAATGGTGGCTTCTATACCACACAGCCTCAATAGGACAGTCTGCAGTGGTGACCTGCCTGAGCAGGGGGTTGGACTAGAACACCTCCAAGGTCCCTTCTAACGATGATGACAATGTTGACATTCAAGGTATCAGCTGTGGGGTCAGGTTTGACTCCTGCAACTGAATAAGCCCATCAGTGCAACTTTCTTGACTTAGTTCAGTTTGTGACTGCTCTTTTTTTTTCAACTACTCATTTAATAATAATAATAATAATAATAATAATAATAATAGTAAAGTTGGAAGGGACCTTGAAGGTCATCTAGTCCAACCCCCTGCTCAGGCAGGAAACCCTATACCATTTCGGACAAATGGCTGTCCAGTCTCTTCTTAAAAACTTCCAGTGTTGGCGCATTCACAGCTTCTGGAGGCAGGTTGTTCCACTGGTTAATTGTTCTCACTGTCAGGAAGTTTCTCCTTAGTTCTAGATTGCTTCTCTCCTTGATTAGTTTCCACCCGTTGCTTCTTGTCCTGTTGCTTCTTGTCCTGTACAATGTTTTTCAAATCTCAACAACTTTAAGAGGGGCGGACTTCAACTCCCAGAATTCCTTAGCCTGCATGAGATTGCTGAGATTGAGAAACACTGGGTCTTAGTAGGTTGGGAAAACCCAGCTGAATCAGGTTTTGCAATCAGACCTCCACCTGGCCCAAACACAGCCATCTTTACAGTAAGTAAGCCCTAAAATTTCATTTTCTTCTTTAGCTTTCTTTTGGGTAAGTTTTATTGGTTTGGTTTCATCTGTGATATTTTACTAAGCATCTGGTACAAACTGCGGTGTTGGACTAAGTTAAAATGTGCTCTGAATGTTAGAATACAAACCTTGTACCTGACTAGGGTAGTCTGTAGGGCATGGTCAAAAGAATCAATAGTAGCCACAATGATGGAGATTTTATGTCTGGAGCTTCTGAACTTTTTTTCAAACATACTTGCAGACCCCTGAAATGAATGCCAGTCACATAATCTGCCTTGTGACATCACCACACATTTTGCAATTCTCCTGTATGCCCCCTTCCATGGATGTTCATGCTTATTTATTTAGCGTATGATGGGAACATGACAAAAGAGAAGTAAACATATACACCCAGTCCGTGTAATTATAACTTCTGTGGGAATATGGCAGTGGCCTCATAACTGGGTGTCCAGTTCAGCTATCCCACTATTCA